TTTGGCTTCCATCCGGCGAGTTTGGGGGTTCATGCAGCAGCCGGTTTTGGAATACGTGCTTTGTGTTCATCCACTCTCGGGATGTGAGCGTTTGTTGTCCATCACTGGTTGCCTTTGGGAAAGTGATGGTGAGCCATGACCTTGAACCACTGCAGCCCATGGGCTGGGGGAGGGTTCAGATACGGCTTTGTAAGGGATCCAGGACCATGGAATAACCTTGTGGTGATGTCCCAGAGATGCACCTCCCTGGGCATAAAAAGCACAGTGTGGGTGGGGTTAAGGGGAACACTGAGATGGAAAGTTTTGGAAGAGAGGAGTGGGGTCTCTGTTTTATGTCTTTGCAGAGGGCACTTCTGACAGTGCCCTGCTCTATCCTTAAGGAGTTTCCATTGTAATTGTTGGCCAGGTGAGGTAAAGTTAAAATTACTATAGTGCCATCGGGCCGCTCTCCCATTAGAGAGAGAGAGAGAGAGAGAGAGGGGTGACGTGGTGGTTTAAACTGGGGGTCACCGTGCTTCAGGCGAGGGGTGAGAGGTTCAGAAGGAGAGTCCTTCACAGTAAGCACAGCTGGTGTAGGAACTGAACCCACGCTGCTGTTATCATGCAAACCAGCCGTCCAACCAACAGAGTGAACTTACTCTCCCACCCCCTCACCTGCCAGGACACCAGGAGGCATTGTGACTTAGAAAAACCTATTTCAAACGCCCAGGCTGTTTGTACGTCCACCATCTTCCCTTAGCGCTGCTGAAGAGAATGGGTCTTACCGAGCTGGACAAGAGGGTGCGCTGAGAGATAAATGCTTCTCGTGACTCTGTCTTTTCCACCCTCACCCCTCTCTCTCTCCCTCTATCCCCCCCCACTCCCCCTCAGGTACGCCATTACTGTCTGGTATTTTGATGGGAAGGAGCGCATCGAAGCCAAAGAGCGATTTAAGAAAGGTATGGACTTCTCCTGCTCTCCCTGTTGCCCTTTCAAACCGTTTGTCGGTGCCTGAGTGTGTCGAAGGTTCAGGATTGTGTGGTCACCAGCCCCGGGCTATTAGTCTGGACCAGGCGGGCAGAGTGGCTGGAATAGGGAAGGCAGCTATTGTCTTCCTCAAAGCAGAGACCAAAACCGTGCACGGTGTTAAACGAGGAGAAGCTGTCTATCGCAGCGCAAGAGTTGGTTAACCAGAGAATCCATCGACTAGAATCCCTACTGAGCAGAAAGAGGCCACTCGGCCCGTCAAGCCTGCACCAGCCCTCCGAGGAACATCCCAACCCACTCTCCATCTGGGATTCTTCACCCACCCAAACCGGCCATGGTAGACATGAACAACCTGGGGGCTTCTTTCCGTTATATGGCCACTGATGCAGAAGCTTATTGAATGAAAGGGTGGCCATTTGGCCCATTCTTGCCCATGCCAGCTTCTTGCAAAAGCTACAAATTTAGTCCCACTCTGTCCTGCACATACTGTTTAAAATTATACTCTCCCAGTTTTTAAATAATTCCCTAACGTTACCACCAATCTTTCAGGCAGTGAGTTACAGATTGTGACAGCTTGGCTTTTTTTTTAATAAAAATAAAATCTCCTCTGATTCTTTTGCTGATTTATTTTAAATCTGTTTCCTGCCCATCAATATAGTTCCTCCTCACTCATTCTCGTGGGGAGATGGTGACAGAGGGACTGTGTTTCTCAGAAATCACGAGGGGGTCTGGACACAGTAAATAGAGGAAAAAAAATGTTCCCTCATTATGAAAGGATTGAGAATGAGAAGGTGCAGCTTGAAATTAATTTGCTGAAAAAGCGACAAAAACAGGAGGAGGAGAGAGCTGGTTGGGAATTGGAATGTATTTGGCGGGGGCTGCTTTAGAAAGGGAATGAGACTGTGTTGAAAGGGAGAAGGCAGAGGTTGGGCAAGATGCTCAGCAGGAAAGAGCCAGCACAGCAACGATGGACCGAGTGGCCTCTGCCTGTATTGACTCCATTCTGTGATCCTGTTAAACTTCTTCTCTCTTCACAGCTTCTGCTCAGAAGGCTCTGCAGTTTACCCAGACCAGTACGGCGTAGGGTCCAGTTGGACAGGACCAGGACCCATGCCCCCCTGCCCGTCTCTCTTCAGCTGCCCACCCTCCCCACCCACCATCTCCAGTGAGCAGAGGGATTGATTGTGCTGAGCTGGTTTTGAGTCATCGACCCTCCAGCTCCTCCATCCACCATCCACTGGGCTGGCCTGTCTCTCCATCCATCGTCCTGGGGCCTCTCGATGCAGCAGCTCCGTTTACTACAGACCACAGTGTTCTTCAAAATAACACGAAACAACAGGCCAAGGGTGACCAGGGGCAGCATTTAACCCTTCGCTGTGCATCATGGGCACTTACACATTGACCGTGTACAGAGAAAATTGTTTAGTTGGACTTTTTTCTATTTGTTCCTCTGAGCCAGTGCAAAGCAATCATTATATGTTTGATGGGGACAGTGTACAAGGAGCTCTACTTTCAGTTTAAAGGAGTGGAGGGAGCTTTACTCTGTATCTAACCCTGCACCATCCCTGTCCAGGGAGTGTTTGATGGGGACAATGTAGAGGGAGCTTTACTCTGTATCTAACCCTGCACTGTCTCTGTCCTGGGACTGTTTGATGGGGAACATTGTAAAGGAAGCTTGACTCTGTATCTAACTCCATGCTGTCCCTGTCCTGTGAATGTTTGATGGGGAACAGTGTAGAGGGAGCTTTACTTTCAGTCTAAAAGAGTAGAGAGAGCTTTACTTTGCATCTAACCCCGTGCTGTCCCTGCAAAGTTTTGTGAAAGAAAATCCCTCATTATTCCATAAACGCAAAGCCTTGATACGGATAAATCTCCTTTTCAAATAACACACTCTCGTTCCCTTTTTGTTAAGTTGAATCTTGTATTCCAGATATGATTGATTTTATTGTCGTGCGTACCTGAACAGAGTGTAAAGCTTTGTTTGCAAGTGGTACAGGCAGATCATAGTAAGCAAAGGATGTACAGATCAAAAAGACTTAGACAGAGGCATAAAGGTTACATTGCACAGGGTGTGCACTAGGCGATACCAACGTTAGCATGATCAGTGTTATTTGTGGTTGGAGAGCCCGTTCATCAGTCTAATAACGGCAGGGAAGAAGCTGTTCCTCAACCTGTTGGTGTGTGTGTTCAGGCTTCAGTATCTTCTGCCTGACGGAAGAGAGCGTTACCGCGGTGTGATGGGTCTTTGATGTTGGCCGCCTTTCCGCAGCAACGAGAAGTGTAGATGGAGTCCATGGATGGAAGGTTGGCTTCTGTGATGGTCTGGGCTGTGCACACCACCTTCTGTAGTTTCTTACGGTCCTGGGCAGAGCAGTTGCCATACCAGGCTGTTATGCACCCGGATAGTATGCTTTCAATGGTGCATCTGTAGAAGTTGGTGAGGGACCTTATGGACATGGCAAATTTCCTGAGCCGCCTGAGGAAGGAGAGGCGTTGTTGTGTCGTCTTGACTGTCGCATTTATGTGGGAAGTCTAGGACAGTTTGTCGGTTACTGTCGCTGGATTTAGTGGGTGGTAAGGGAGACAGGAGTTAATGGGCAAGTGTCCAGTTCCTAATCCCAGCCCTCACCCTTGGCCTTTGTTCATCAGATACCGTTCCCAACTTCCCTTCCCCAATCTCCAAATGAGTTAATGGACCGTCTGCTTCCTGAAGATCTTATCCATGTACCACGCCCCCTGGGACAGTGCTGAGGAAACCTTGTACATTCTGCTCAGAAGCCTCCTTCTTTATTCACCACCTCCCCCCCCACCCCCAGCTGCCCCATTCCATTCTGGGGTCAGGACTGTGGAAAGGGAGCCCTCAAAAGCTCTGCTCCTTCGTTATTAACACCACATACAAATTCTAAACTCCTCCTGGGGCATTTTGTCAAGTTTCAAAAATGGCCAGTTCATGGACCCTTAAAGCTCTGCACCCTCTCCTTTAAGAGGAGTGGCATACTCAACGTGGATTTTCCAACACACACCATAAATAAATGAACTGTGGATGCTGGAAATAGGAAACAAAAACAGAAGTTGCTGGAAAAGCTCAGCAGGTGTGGCAGCATCTGTGGAGAGAAATCAGAGTTAACGTTTCGGGTCCAGTGACCCTTCCTCAGGACCTCTATTCCAAGGAAGGGTCACTGGACTTGAGTCCACATTGACCCTCCTGAAGCATCCCACCCAGACCCAACCCCAGCCCTGTAACTGTGCATTTCCCATGGCTAATCCATATAGCTTGCACATGCCTGCACACTATGGGCAATTTAGCACAGCCGATTCCACCCTAACCTGCACATGTTTGGACTGTGGGAGGAAACCAGAGGTAACCCTCACTGATACGGGGAGAATGTGCCAACTTCTCACAGATATTGCCCAAGGCTGGGATTGAACCCAAGTTCTCTGGTGCTGGGAGGCAGCAGTGCTAACCACTGAGCCACTGTTCTGCCCTACTGCTCCTGCAGACAGCTGTGGGGAAGGAATCCTTGTGCACGTTTAAGGCTGAGATAGATTGTTGATCAGTTGGGGAATCTAGGGTTACAGGGAAAGGGCAGGAAAGTGGACGTGAGGAACGTTGGATCAGCCATGATCCTATTGAATGGTGGAGCAGGCTCGAGGGGCTGAATGGCCTGTTCCTTTTTTTTAACAGTAAACAGGAATGTGGAGTTGAGGTTAAAATCAGATCAGCCGTGGTCTTATTGAATGGCAGAGTAGGCTAGAAGGGCCGAATGGCCTACTGTTGTTCCTTGTTTGTTATTTTTTTAAAAATAATTCATTCACAGGATGAGAGCATCACTGGCCAGGCCCAGCATTTATTGCCCAACCCTAACTGCCCGGAGGGCATTAATGAGTCACCCATATTACTGTGGGTCTGGAGACATGTGTAGGTCAGACCAGATAAGGATGGCAGTTTCCTTCCCTAAAGGGACATTAGTAAATCAGGTGGATTTTCTGACAAATTGTCAATCATTAGACTCTTAATTCCAGATTTACTTTGAATTCAAATTCCACCATCTGCTGTGGTAGGTTCGAACCCGCATCCCCAGAATGTTACCTGCGTCTCTGAATTAACAGCCCATTGATAATATCACTAGACCACTGGCTCTCCTAATGTATGATGTTTGAAAGCACGTCTTCACACTAAAAAGTTGTGGAAATCAGGAACCCTTCCACAGAGGTCTGTACAGTGCTGCAAAACTGGGAAATACATGAATATTAATTTGATCCCCATGTGCCAGCCACATTTTGTGGGCTCAGTAGGTCAGGTCGTGCCTGGAAGGTGAGGCTTTGCTTGGTTCAGTCTCTAGGACAAAGGTGTTGGGTGTTTATGACCACTGATATGACAACCTATTGTGACTACCAAGAGTGTTTAAGATTAAAGAGAGTAATGCACAAGCACAAGCCTTATCTCCAGTTCAGAATTCCGCTGAGATGATATTTTCAATGAAGCAGAAAGTAGCTATCTGCTAGCAGCTGAGATACTGCGATGAATACAATTCTTTATTCACCTTACCGCAGCCTTTTCTTCCTGCAGTTAATTACCATCCAGCCCAGTAATCAGCAACGGTTAATTTCTTTTCAATTAAGTGAATCTGTTGGCTCCCAGTCCCCTTTTAAACCTAGCTCCATTTGATTCTATATTCCTAGAAGTTTTACAACATTACACTGAGAAATGTGGAAATTAAAGTCAGAGATTTCTGTGCCTTGTTGTTTGCAGCCCTCTGCTGGAACGTACTTGTATAGCGGAGAAAGGGACATAAAATAACAAGTTGTACTTATATAGTACCTTTTAGCATAATAAAATGCCCCAAGGCATGTTGTCAACAAAATCTGACATGGAACTGCAGAAGGACGGATGATCGAGAGTGTGGTCAAAGAAGTAGGTTTGAGTATTGCTGAGAAAAGACACATTCTGTTGAAGCTTTTAGAGTCACAGCACAAAACAGACCCTTTGGTCCAACTTGTCCCTGCCAAAGGTATCCGAAACTGAACTCGTCCCGTTTTCCAGCATTTGGCCGGTATCCCTCAACCCTTCCTGTCCATGTACCTGCCCAAATCTCTTTTAAATGTTGTAATTGTACCAGCCTCTACCACTTCCTCCGGGAGCTCATTACGTATACACACCACCTTCTGTGTGAAAAAGTTGCCCCTCAGGTCCCTTTTAAATCATTGCCCCCTCTCACTTTAAACCTATTCCCTCTAGTTTTGGACTGCCCCACCCTTGGAAAAAGATATTGGCTGTTCACCCTATCTATCCACTCGTGATTTTATAAACCTCTCTAAGGTCACCTCTCAGCCTCTGATGCTCCAGGGAAACAAGTCCCACCCTCTCCTTATAACTCAAACCTTCCATTCCTGGCAATATCCCTGTAAATGTTTTCTGTACCCTTTCTAGTTTAACAACATCCTGTAGCAGGGCAACCAGAATTGTACACAGTATTCCAAAAGGGAGCTCACCAATGCCTTATACAGCTGTAACATGACATCCCGACTCCTGTACTCAATGATCAAAGAAGGGAAGTGCGCTAAATGCTTTCTTCACTACCTTGTCTACCGGTGACTCCACTTTCAAGGAACTATGAACCTGCACCCCTCAGTCTCTCTTTTCAACAACACTCCCCAGAGTCCTACCATTAACTGTAAGTCCTGCCCTCGTTTGCCTTACACCTCACATTTATCTAACCTAAAGTCCATCTCTCACTCCTCAAGCCCATTGGCCCATCTGATCAAAATCCTGCATTCATCAGAACACTTGGTAAGAATACCAATTCAAGGGTAAAACCAACATTGATACTGCGCATGGGGAGAGTGTGGATGGGAGGGAGGGGGAGGGGGAAGGGCACTGAAGGGACCAGGAAGGGAACTGAGGGGTAGGGAGGAGGATGTGGTTATGGAGGGGAGGGAGGAAGGGGACTGAGGGATGACCATGGGAACTGGCTGGAGGCATGAGGAAGGGAGAAGGGGTAGGTGAGGGGACAAAGGTGAAGGGTTTCCAGGGAGAGTGAGGAACAATGAAGTTGGGTGCAGGAAAGGGAAAGAGATGAGGTGGGTGGAGGAGGAGGAAGGGAATTGGACCTGGGGAAGGTGAATGAATGGGGGTAGGATAGGAGAGGGAAGGGGACAGGAATGGGTTGGTAGAAGAGGAGAGGGAGTGCAGTGAGGGAATGGAAGGTAAGATGGGGACTGAGACATAGGAGGGAAGGGAAAGACAAGGTGAGGGGAATTCCTACAATGTTTCGTTTGAACTTTTTACTCTATGCTGCAGCCATGAGGTGGAAGATGTAACCATTGAAAACAGGCAAAGGCGAGGCCCAGAATCTGGCCCTCTCTCTGTGCCAGGGTGAGGGTGGACTGACAGGAGGAAATGGGTCACAGTTTGGTGGCTGCAAGTTACTGGCACCCAGTGTTGTCTTAAAATCCGGGGAATCTGCTTTAACTAGGCCTCCCCAATCATAGAGACTATTGTGTCTGCCTGCAGCTACTGCACAAAACTCTTTCATGACCCATAGACCATCTGTTCTTCATCCTCATTTCCATCCTGAGGCATATCGAAAGGGAATTGCTAGATCCATGGAAAAGGTGAAAAAATGTGCAGGGATTTGGAATGCTGGCTCAGGCTCAATGGGCCAAATGGGATTTGGGAAGGCACAGGAATTCCATGAGGGTTAGGGGGGGTTTTGATGAAGTGTGGCAACAGTGGCCCTTGCCAAACTAGTTCAAGACAAGCCAGGGCCCCTCCACAACTCACCCTCACCCCAGAGGGCCTCAATAGAAACCCCTTGTACAATTACTCAGGAGTGTACGGACTGACTGGACTAAAACTCAGCAATTGAGGGGGTAATTGCAGCTT